GTGTCAACATATTGCAGGAATTCTGGTATGGCTTTGATTTAGATTTGTGGAAATTGCTCTTAGAAGTAATCCATCTCTCAGCACCAACAAGGAAGATCTGAAGACTTACTAAAACCCAGAATAATTTTGTCAACAATTTCAGCAGCTTATGCAACTTTATGAATATGCACATATCCTACCTGGTCAGAATTCATCATGGCACCTTCCCAGCCCTGTCTCTGAGAACTAATTCATGGCTGATCTGCTCAGGAGGCACAGACAGCTTAGTGTTTGAAACAGAAGTTAGCATCACTGCCATGCCATAGGCAGGGAAACCAAAGCAGCAGGATGAAGAAACACGTCTGTTCTGCTGCCAGTGTGCAGAACATAATGAGAACCCTGGGACCCATAGTCTACATTGCTTTAATTATAAAAGCCACATAGAGGAGGTAAGTGATTGTAAGGACTGCCCTGAAGAACCAACACTGTCTGACTCTATAAAGGAAAAATAAATAAAGTCTCACTGGCTGCAAATCTATTAAACCAGTTTAAGATCTCCACACCGAAAAAGTGCTTAAAAAGAAAAATCAACAGGAAACAAAAATCTGAACACTTAGCTTTTTGGGCTACATTTTCTCATCTACTTTGTCTATCTTGCCTCTAGCATACTAAGAATATCCCAATGTAAGTTGAATTGCTTTCATTTGCAGCAAGTATTCAAAATGCAGTTTTTAGTGGAAGTTGTCTTGCATCATTAACTACCAGAAAACCTAACATGAGTGTAACAGTTTAAGATGGTACAACAAACCAGACAACTACAGCAGATACTCACTACAGCCTCAGATACATTCCAGTTAATAGAAAAGGCAGCTTCATTTTAAAAGTATTTGTTCTTTAGAATATTTATCAGCCAAGAATTGGCTAAAACAAGGTCAAAAGTCCCACGAACTAAGGGAAACTTCCCATTCAAACTTTTTAACAGCAGAATCATCAAGCAGACCTCTGTTGGGAGACTGCTGAGCTTGATGAATTTGCAGAAAAGATTCAACAGCACAATGCCACAGTTGCAATGCAATAATGATACTGCTAACATCTACTTTTCTCCTGTGATGCTCACCTTTTCATATGCCAGCCACATTTCTCACATGATACCTAGCTCCGTTGCAACTTGCAACACAACTACACAAGACCCCAAAGTTATGCTTTCGCTGAGCATCAAGGTCATACTCTAGACAGCATCCAAAGTCTGCTGTGTAAATTCCTCAGGCTTCTGCACCCTGAAACGCACTATCTGCTCAGCTTCTCAATCTTAGCCCTGATCCCGCCCTAATTTCTTAAACCCTTCTACCATATGCCCCAATCAACTAAGCAGCAAAAAAAGCTACAGATCCTGTGTTTGACTTCCCTCTGTTCTCCAATCCTTTTGCTGCAGCTTTTACATGATGTGCAAGGTTCTGCTTTGCTTACAGTCACACCACAGAACTCTGGCTGCACAGTATAGTGAGATGGTATCCTAGCTGTACCCTACATAGGCACCAAGATATAATGAAAAACAGAGGTTCCCCAGTCTTTCTGCAACATCCCTGCCGCCCAGTAATTCTGTTACACATTTTGTCTCCATGATCTGCTAAGTGAGAAGGGCAAGAAGGTAAGCCACAGCACAAACCACACTCTTAAAAGTAAAAAATACTGCTCTATTGTCACCAGCAGGCTAAAAAAAACTAACTTTCAAGCACTCTGTTCCAGTTTCTGCTAGTCTACATCAAGTACAAACACACAAACTTTGCAATGGGTATTTGGACCAAAAAATTCCCTAGCTCGTGGACAAATTTCATCCAACTGATCTTCCTTGCAACCTCACCTTCCAGAGGGGGGAAATATAACTGATTAATCTG